TTCATATGCTACTATGCAGTGTGCCTCATCTATTACAAAGCAAAGTCCTTGTTGTTCATAAATTCTTTTTAACATTGTCCTAAAGCTTGGATTCAGGTCGAATTTTTCAGCAGTTACAAAAAGTATTTTAGTAAATCTTGCTGCAATTTCTTCAAATACTTTAGATTGAAGTATACTTTTGTAATTAAAGCACAAAAATGTGTTTAAAGTGCAAAATTCATCTGATGGCTTGATTGTAAGGTTTCTGGTCAAATCTACATAAAAACGTTAAAAAGCCCAAATTGCCAAAATAGTTCAAGCTAGAAACCTTACTTGTTTGTTGGTAAAGTGTCCTGTTGGCAAAGTGTCCCAGATCCAAGCCAACATTAAATGCTAATCCCAGTAACAATGATAATAAAATTAAGAACAATAATTGACTCAATAATCTCACAGAAAAAGCTTCACATTTGTTCATGTAATAATTTACTAATAAAATCTGAAAAAGGACAGGGAACAGGCAACTTTGCCCTTTGCTTGTGCCATACCTGTCCCTCGAATTTACCTGTCCTTTTTAATGTTTTCATGTAAATCAACTGTCCTGCAACCTGTCCTTTTCTAGCAGCCCCAACCAAAAAACTAGGTGCTGTTGTTATAATTGATTAAGTTTCATCTGGATAATTTTCATTAGAATCTAAACAGTCACAATAATAGCTAATTATTTAATTGGTTGAATTAATTAACATAATAAATTATAGACATTAATATATTATTATAATGATCTATCCACAAATCCAAAATCTTTAGTTTGATCATTTTCATTATTGCAACTTCAGTATAATTGGTGATGCTGATGTAGTAGTGGTATTATTAACAAAAATTAAGCCATAAAATAATGTAGAAGTGAGGATTGATATTTTTATAATCACATGTGATATGTAAATAATGGATCATTTGAAAAAAAAAATTTTGTGATACATTTATTTCTCTTGATGGAAGTAATTAAATTTCCAAATGGATTGGCAAATGAATTAAAATTATTGATTGAGTCAATTTATCCAAGATATGATTTATTATGTAAACCAATTTCAGGTGAATTTAAGCAAATTAGAATTAATAATATTTTAAATGAATTACTTGGAACATTAAAATTAATAGAAAATTGTGCTGATTGTAAGAAAAAAATGATAAAAGATAATAATTATCTTATGGATTATCTGAATAAATCAATTGATGCATTAAATGAACTTTCAAATAGATTAAAAGAAAATGAGAAAGAAAGTAAAAAATCAATTGAGGAATCATATCTCAATTTAATTCTCACAGATGTTGAATTGAATGGATTTGTATTATGCAATGGTTGCAAAGAAAATGAGGAAGAAAAAAGTAAAAAATTGATTGAAAATTCATATAAAATTTTAATTAAAACAGATGTTGGATTAAATGAAGTTGTATTATGCAATGGTTGTAAAGAAAAGGAAATTGGAAACTTAGAGGCTGATTGTGGAAATAAAGAAATAGCCAAGTTTCTTTATGAATGTAAAAAAATAAATAGATATAAGGATAGTTATATTGAATGGATTCCTTTTAATGAATTCAAAAATATTGAATATTTGGCTAAAGGTGGTTTTGGTGAAGTTCATAAAGCAATATGGATTAACTATTATCTATCTTTTAATGATAAATTTAAAATGAATGTGATATTAAAAAGATTATATAACTCAAGTGATAAAATTACAGATATTTTAAAAGAGGTAAAACTTTTTAACGTTATTTTTTCATAAATATTATTAATTTTGATTATAATTATAATTATTGATAATTTTAGTTAAAAGCAAATGATGAAGTGGGTAGTTTTGTTAATGAATGCCTTGGAATTACAAAAGATACAAGAACAAATGAATATATGTTGGTATTTGAATATGCTAAAAATGGAGATTTACATAATAATTTATCAAATAATTTCAAGGAAATTACTTGGGAAAATAAAATTGATTCACTTATTTGGATTTCAGATGGGCAAGTTTTAAATTTTATTATTAAATTAAATTTTCTTTTATAAAATTAACTTTACACATTTCATTAATTATTATTAAAATGAATTAGATTAAGGGAAATTCATGGAAATAATTACATTCATCATGACTTGCACAGTGGTAATATTTTTTCATACAATCAAGCTTATAGCAAAATAGGAGATTTAGGGTTATGTCAACAATTAATGAATAAAGATGAGAACCCAAATGAGATCTTTGGAATCATTCCATACCTGGCACCTGAAGTATTATCAGGTAAACAATATACAAAAGAATCAGACATTTATAGTTTTGGAATG